CGTCATATTCCCGACTGGTCAACATCTAAATAAACAAAAAATTGCTCATGTTAACACATAATACATTTCCATTACATCTTTATGTTCCCATATTACCTCAGGCGCAGCATAATCCAAAGTTCCACAGAATTTATTGTACTGTTTGTCTTCTTGAATATATGGCAACACTTGCAAAATCAATCAACCGTCTGTTACCATCCTCATCCAAAATAACATTCTTGTTTTTGCTATCACTATGCACGACATCATTCTTGTGCAAGTGCCCAACCGCACAGGCAACGTTTCGGAATATCGACTTGATTTCAGTTTCGAAGCGTCCAGTTCTATGTACCCAAACAAGTCCATTCCCCTTCATGGAGATTTCAATGTAATAATGGTTTTCGTCTTCAAAAAGTTGGCTGTTTGTTGAAAGGGGGGGGTGAGAATAATAAATAAATAAATAAGCCTGTGATACATAATGCAACAGTATTCTTTCTAGATACGTACTCATGTGTACTATATTTGGATGAGAAAGTTGCCGGAATGTATGGAGAATGTGTATCTCTGACGGAATATTTCCGAGTACTTCATGATGTATCCAACTGTCGACAAGAATCCTTGACTTGAAGACAAACTTCAATATCACTAGTTTCCTATAACAAAAAACAAAAGTATTATAAACAACTTCAAAAAAAAATACAAGCCAATAGATACACGGGCTCCTGTTTTCTCGCTCAGCCGTACACATTCGCAGACTCACCTTTTCTGGATCCTTCGCATTGTATGCAACTTGACAAATTCGTAGGATCTTGTAATCATCAATAGTTTTTGCACGAGTAACGACCGAATACAATTGAGGATCAAAAGATTCTTCGCCGATTACCGGTAGATTAACATCGCTGACGTCCATCCTCAGCCACCTGCGTTGGAGGTTTTCCACCAGCGGCCAGGAATTTCGACATGAGAATTTTCATCATCATCGCTATTGTTCTGCTCATCGTCTACATTGCGTCTTCGGTCTTTGTCTCGTCATCTTTCTTTTGGTAGGTCGAGTTTTGTCATTTTCGTTTGGCCCCTCTGTCGTATGATATCCATAAGGCACGCAACGGCTCGTTAGCATATTCGACTACTCGCATCGTATATCAACATTAAATTCGGTCTCATCTCTATGCACCGCGGTAATGCCGGGGAGACGTGGAGATTTCCGTGCTCAATACGTGATTAGAATACGTCAACTTGAGCAGGATTGCAGTATGACAGCTGCTTCGATTAGGTTGTGCTCTGATTTCAAAATATCGTTCAAGCCCGGAATTATGATAACAATGACCGTATATTCTTCTTTCCGATCGATGCTTGTCTACTTGTCCCAAACAAATATTCTGCCAGATCGTACTACAAGCCCCGACGAATAAGCAGTAACAACTCCAACAATAGAACCAATATACGTCAACTGCATCTGATCCCCAGTTCATTCGCGGTCTCGTTCTTGCGCATAATCTTCCAACAATCGGAATCTTCCTCTGAGAAACAGGTAAATTTGGTTGGTTCAATGTTTAGATAGTCTTTGGTGAATACAGAGATTAAGTATTAGCTATTATATAGGTTCCTTCCAATTCTTCAGCGGAAAAACTGTAAAGAGCCTTTAGGTCACCAGATGCTTTGGGGATAATTCCCTAAGTAAACAAAAGATTGGAGAAAACGCGATAGAGGGTCAAGGAAATTCTGCAGACAAACCTCTTGATTGATTCGACATCCATTGTCGATTCAACAATTTCTTGAAAATCCAAATGAATAT